TTTCGACGTCGAGTTTCCGACGTCGCCTTAACTGCACATTAAGACGGGTGCGTACCTTGGCTGCCACAAGGTAATGGTCCAAATCGATATTCGCTCCTCGGATCGATCGGACGTCTAAAACACTGGATGAATGCCTTCCGTCTATCATAACATGATCAATTTGATTTCTCGTTACTTGATCAGGAGAGATCCAGGTGGCCTTGTGTATATCGAGTTGCTTGAATCAGGTGCTGCTAACTACCATGTTTTTTGCTGCCGCGAAGTCAATCAACCTCATGCCGTTGTCGGATGTTTCTTCATGAAGGCTGAATTTTCCGACGGTGGGCCCAAGATATTTTCCTTTCCGATTTTTGCATTAAAAGCTCCTAGAAGAATTTTAATGTCATGGCAACGGTCATATGCTGTTTCTAGGCGCTCGTAAAATATGTCCTTGGTCTGTTCATATTTATCTTCGGTCGGAGCATGGGCGCAAATTAGACTGATGTAAAAGAACATCGCTTTTATACGGATTATAGCAATTCGCTCATCTACTGGAGTGAATCTGGAGACAAGGTCTTTTATTCTCCTGTTAACCATAAATCCGCAGCCAAATTCATGTCTCGTTTCATGGCAGCTATAATACATGGTGTAATCGTCTGATTTACTTACGCCTGTCCCTTTCCATCGCATTTCCTGTAAGGCAATAATATCGGCATTGTACTTCTTGAGCACATCCGCCAAAGCGAACACTGCGCCTGTTCTGTACAACGTGCGCACATTCCAAGTGCAGATTCGCAGATTGTGGTATTTTATACGTTTGCGGGGGTCGTCAACATTAGGGGTTTGTTTTTGTTTATTTTTGTCAAAAACTAATTGTCAATGTGACAATTTAATTTCCATAACAGCAATGTTGTTTTTGTAAAATGTTAGTTGTTGTAGCTGATGCATACACCTTGCATTGCCTCTAATTCAAGGCACATATATTAGGTAATCGCATCGGCGAATTACTACAACAAGGCAAATAAAAATCAATTCGCTTTGACATTTCAAAATTTAGGCAAATTTAATTCAACCCAAGGTAGATATACAAGGTAGCCGCGAATTGGGAACATGATGTGTCAAAATTGTTAACAAGGCGAATAATAACAATTTCGCCATGATGTAAAAAACTCGAAGCAAATTAAATTCAACCAATCAGAATTAAGCATTTTGAAAAATGAAAATTATTTGTTTATTTTTTGAATGGTCTTTTTTATAAAAGTCTAATCTCGATGGTCTACCGCTATGCCTTTCTTTTTTATCCCTTGTTTTTCGTTATGTTTTAATTTGTACTTCAATTTTTATTTGAAAATGGATTTGAACAAAAAAAAAAAAAAAAACAAATTGTTATAACATATAATGTTACCATCGGCTGGTTTGATACGGCTACCTTCTTAATATACCTTGATTCAACCAATCAGAACAAAATGTTTTTGTACCCTACACATCTTTAAAGTTAAAAGTATGTGTTGCTTCAAGAGTTTGTAGCTGCACGACTCCTAGACTCAAATTCTTGTATATCGTTTATCATCTGTACGTCTGGCCATTATCATTTGTAATCTGATTATCATAAGCCGAATCAAATGGTTATTGAAAAAAAAAATATCTTCTGAGAACACAACATTTGCACAATTTCGAATAAACCATTCAGTATGTGTTGGCATCTTTCAATAATGTCCTTGATGAATTCTGGAAATTTTTTATGTATATTCGGTTCTGGCCTAAGTCGATTTCTATTTGTTTTATATTCTTGGAAATTACGTTGATGGGGTTCTGGCCTATGAATAAATATGACTGTTTTCATGATAATCGTTCAATATTTAGCGCGTCAAATATATTTTATTTAAAAAATCGCTAAATTTGAATTGTTTGGCGTACATATTTACTACTGAAAGATATATATTAATAGTACATCCACAAGGAGTGGTTGAATTATATAAAGACTACAATTATATTAATGTACGTACACAGAGGTGGTATTTATAATAAAAATTTACAGGCACTACATATTCTGAAATTATCTAACATTAATATTATCGCACATTCCAATATCGCCCGATCGCTACGAAACCGCATAAAGTTCAAAGATGTCACAAATGTTGATGAACCAAATTTGTTAATTTCTCTCTATTTTTGTAATATTTCATATACCACCAAACTGTATATGAAAAATGTATCTTGGCAACAAATAAACATGCATACATAGAAGATGTAAGTCCAATGGTAGTTGTGTAGGGTATTATATTGTGACGTTCGACTTTACTGATCGGTTCACTGGTTTTAAAATTAGATGTATGAAGATGTATTAAAACTAGATGGAGAAGTTCCATAAATTGTAAATTTTCACAATGTTTTACTCCCTCCACCATAAAGTGGAGTGTATATTCTATTTGTCACAGTCCTTTTGTTCAGCCTCATTTCTTGGGCATGTTACAGCCCAAACTACAAAAAATGAGTCGTGCATCTACAAACTCTTGAGGCAACACAACATTATGGGCCAACATTCAACCAACATTATAAGGTTAACAAGGAGGCGAATTCAAAGTCTTCATTGAATGTCAAATTTATTGTTTGAAGAATAAATAAACAAAAAATATTTCCATTCGAAACAAAATATTCGTGCTGTTCTGCTTTATATTTCGCGATTAAAATGTTGACAGCAAGAGAAGACTAAGGCATGAATTCGCCTGCCGGTTAACCTTATGAATAAACCTTGTTATGGGCTCTTGAAGTTTTAAAACATCTTTCAAGAAACTTTTTTTTATGTAGCCCTCATATAAAATTCCTGTCCAGTTTTAGGTGTTTTGGTTCTCTTGAACTAAAATTGAACCAAAATAAAAATCACGAAACTTCAATTTTATTTACAAAAATTGATTTATTTTTTAAGGCGAATTAAACATTACAACAATTTGTTTTGGCATTCAATGTTACAAACAATTGGGTCGATGCGACTCCTAATACGTCAACCTTGGTCCAAAGTAGATGTATTAGGTAGTCGCATCGACCCAGTTGTTTGTAACATTAAATGTCAAAACAAATTGTTGTAAATTTTAATTAGCCTTAAATAATATATATGTATATATATATATATATATATATATATACAGTGAGTGTAATAAGTATTTTGCCTCAATACAAATTTGACAAAATTCTAATATATACGCCAAAAGCCAGCATACTAAAGATGTAAAATGAATTATGTATGATGGGATATGTTTGTGGGCATATTTAGTAGTAGTAATTCGCCGATGCGACTACCTTATATATGTGCCTTGAAATACCCTTTTCAAGCCAGCTGATGGCAACATTATATGTCATAGCAATTTGTTGTTGTTTTTTTCAAACCAAAATCAGTTTCTTTCTATTCCAAAATCAGTTATTTACACAAAAATTTAAACATTAAAAAAAAATTTCAAAAAGTAAAGAAATATTTTTCATTTATCAAAATTCTGATTGGTTTAATTTAATTTGCTTCGATTTTTGTATGTCATGGCAAAATTGTTATTATTCGCCTTGTTAACAATTTTGACATATCATATTACCAATTCGCCGAAGCGGCTAGCTTATATATCTACCTTGGACTAGCTCGTTCGACATTATTCACCACAAAAGTAAAACACATGTATTTATATGAATGTTACCGAAATACATCGACGTACGAATTTTCAAATTAGTTTTGGTCAAGGTATATTAAGAAGGTAACCGTATCAAACCAGCTGATGGTAACATTAATGTCATAACAATTTTTGTTTGTTGTTTGTTTTTTTTTTTTTTAAACCATTTCCATATAAAAATTGAACTACAAATTAAAAAATAACGAAAAACAAGGGATAAAAAAGAAAGGCATAGCGGTAGACCATCGAGATTAGACTTTTATAAAAAAGACCATGGAATCCAACACAAGGCTTTGGGATCAAAAAATATTTGGTTTGATGGGGCCTTTTTATCTTATCTGTATGATATTGTTTTTTTTTTCAAATTTCATGTTTTACACAAACATTTACAATTTTAAAAACATTCAAAAAATAAACAAATAATTTTCATTTTTCAAAATGCTTAATTCTGATTGGTTGAATTTAATTTGCTTCGAGTTTTTTACATCATGGCGAAATTATTATTATTATTCGCCTTGTTAACAATTTTGACATATCATGTTCCCAATTCGCCGATGCGGCTACCTTGTATATCTACCTTGGTTTTAGTTTTGTTTTTCCCCCCTTTGTTGAAAATTGGAACAAAATATCAAGAAAATAAAAATTTTTCAATAATAATGTGAAATATTGAACACATTTTATCATTTTTTAATTTTGTTCCGCGATTTTGATAAGTTCTCCAAGAGATGTATTTGGGTAATACGGCCGTACAAAACATTTTGCCATTTTTTGTACGCCTTGTTGGAATTTAGGTAATGCAGGCATATGCTTCCAATTTTTTCATAAATTTGCCTTTGACTGTATTCAGCTTTCAAAATTTAAATATGATTAATATTTAATATACACATATCATGTTTTCAGTGGCAAAAATTGCTAAATAATTTATATTTATAAATATTTTGAAGTTCCCTGCCTCCAAAAATTATAAATATAAGATGTAACGACCATGGTTAAATCTTGAGAGCAATGTTCAGATTTAGAAAATATATTTTGTTTAATTTATTGAAAATATTCCAATCGACATACATAAAATTTTATGGAATTTATTTTTCATATTATTTAAAATTGATAGATGAGTTCCAAATTAAAAAGGGTTGCCATTATAAAATTCTCAAATGAGACTACCTACCTAAATATATTTAAACACAATCCTGCCCCATCTCCCCTATATTTTGATTGTAATAAATATATCACAATTCTATTTATGATTACATACGTCGTCGATGTTTCGCAAAAGTTAATTTGTCGTACTAATACAACAAAAATTATACGATAAATTATATGTATATAGAGTTTTGTACCCATAAAAATGTGGAAATTTGTACTCACCGTTAAGCGTTATATCATCTTCGAGACATTTAAACCATTTTTGGATAGTTATTTCGCCTTCTTTTAAGTCAATTCCTTCAATGATGTCAAACTGATCTGTGATACTGCCCGTAGTTCCAGGCGAATATGCCAACCCTTTGTCGACTAAGATCTTGCTTATGTTGGTGTATTTTATAATGCATGGTGCCAATGCATCAGCAGTATCTGTTAAAGAACCCCACAAAAGTACTGGCAATGAGTTTGTTCCCTCTAATCGTTTCCCACGCATCGCAACCCATTGTGTTTCAAACTGTGTTATCCAATATCGAAAGCAGTCTATAGCAGATTTGGACCATGATTTAGCATTGCCAGCAGGACCAATACCTGCTAAATGGCATCGATAAACTGCATTAGTTACTCGGTCTAACTGGGGGTCAATTGCAAATAACTGGTGTTCCGCTATGGATCTTATTGTTGCTCCAATATCTCGCAAAAACACGGAGAATGTAGTTTCTGAGATAGGATCGTGCTTCTCTTCGGTTACTATGCCTCTGTACCATTCAAAGCTGTTGTGGGCCGGCGAATATTCCGGCATGTTAGTGTATTTGGTGTATACCAAACAATGGTCACCTACCATCCATTGCTGATTTTCTTTTTTAGGTAGATCCGCATAACTGTCAGATATTTTAAATTTCACATTCTGAGTTTCTTGAATTTTGGCATGAAATTGATCCGTACCCGTTTTTAATTTTGACAATTGAATATAAAACTCGCCGGGGTCTACAATATGAGTAACAAAAATCTCAGAGCGCTGGATTGAAAATTGTTCAAGATCTCCGGATGTTTTGACACTTGTCATCGAAGAACATTGGCTGGTATACTCGTCAAATTTATTGGTTTCCGATGGTACTTTTTCAAGGTGACAATTCGATTTTCTATTCATTCGAAAACAATCTGTTATTTGTGTCGTTACGCCGGTCGAAATGCCATGCCTACTTTTAACTAAAGCAGCTCCGATATTAATGTCTAAGTTCTTTTTACTCACGTATAGTAAAACTCTGTTAAGATCATCTAAAGTACTCTGAACTTCCATTCTTAAGGTAGGGTTGATTGTCATCTGTTTAAAGTCCGCTATTGCGGCAGGCGTGTAATTGTAGGAATTTTCTTGTAGCGGTTCGATATCGGCCAACGAGCACCTGATGGCATATTCGCGTCGTTGGCGAAATTCATCGGACAAAATGAATACTTGTCGCCAGTTAATTATTTCGCAAGGTCCTTCATCTACTAGATGTATTAGCAGAGAACCTTTTCCCATTACCTCCATAATGCGACCTCGATGCCAACTGTCGTTAATACGGACAGCACAGCACTTATTTGCCTGTGCTAAATAAATCTGCTGAGGTTTGGCTTCTTGAGCACCATACGAAAAATTCATATCATTACAAAACGCAAGTTTTTCACCAGTTAAATCTTCCTAAAAAATAAACAGAATAAACAAATTTTACTCATATTGTTCATTTGTAACTACTACGTATATACATATATAAAACTCTGTTATATATATATTGAGATCAATTATTTCATGATTCCATAATATATGAACTTTAACATTATTCGCTAGTATCGAATGACAACTGTCATAACCAGAGCTCCGAAATGCTCGCTCGAATTCGAGTAAAGAGTGAAACTCGCTCGAATTCGAGCGGGAGTACTCCTTCGAGTAGAAAAAGTAAATAGAGTATACTCTATTTTTCTCTGCCACTCAAATAAGAGCGCAAGTGCTTCGCTCGTTTTCGAGTGGGAGTGAAATACGCTCGAAATCGAGCAGATTACACTCTTTTATTTTTATTTACTCTTTTATTTTTATTTATTTTTTTGTTTGTGATACCGTTGTTTTACTTGATGTTGTTTGTGTGCATTGTTTGTTTTGTGATGTTTGGTTTGCAGTACTGCTACTACACTCACACACAAATAACCAAACAACCAAATTTATTTGTCCACTCGATTTCACTCTTAGAGTGAACTATTACTATTTTTCGAACATTTTGACTCGCACTCTTTTTCTTCAACAAGGAGTACTCGCGAGCACTCCCAAACAAAACAAAAGAGTGGATAGTATACTCCCTAAAAAACTCGTACTCTTTACTTACTCCCACTCGGGAGTATCTTTCACTCGCGAGTAAAATCGAGCAAATCGGAGCTCTGGTCATAACACTTCATTTGGGAAGTGTTACAATTCACCCTTAATCACGTTTATAAGTTATGCCTCTCTTGCAGCAAATGAGCGATATGTGTGCTAAATCTCGTGTCAATCGGTCAAAACCTATAAGTAATGAATCGACAGTGTCAGTCGGTATTATCGAAAGATATATTCCCTCAATCTATAACATATGTGTGTACCATACACAGTCAAGGTAGAGCTCTTTTTATAATTCATAAAAATTCATTAAAAAAATGCAAATGTTTATTCCACAATTATTTGATTGAACTAATAAATTCCCACTTCATATATGATGGAAAGTGCCGTTGAGTTAAGGCTAAACCTTGTAATATATAATAGAGCATAATTACCTTTATAACATAAAATTCGTGCGGACCCACAAGATATAGCATATTGACTATCAAAATATCTCCAGCACTTAAGTAATTACGTGGTATTTGTTCGTCAGGTTTGACGTTAGATACATGTCTCTAAAAAAAGTAGGAAATTATATATATATATATATATATATATTACACGATGAGATATATGTTTTATTTTACTATAATATGCTTTAATGTACTATAATACGATTTTTACTAATAAATGCTTACCTTAATATACATTTTAAAGTTGTGTGCAGCACCTGGCCTCTCTCGGGCCAGGCCTGTGTATAAAAAAGAATCACGTACAGAAGTTGTAACTGACGTATGTAGGTCAATTTTAAAAAAATCGCGACTGATTTTTTCTATTATATGCATACGAGCATGTTGGCTGAAATGGAGAATGAAAGACAAATTAATATCAATCAAATTATTTTTAAACCAAAATACACGTGCACAAGAGAGAAAGATATTTTCAGTTTTTATCCAGTTCTGGTTGGTATTTCGGGATTAAAAGTTGACAGTAAGAGAAGACTAAGGCATGAAGATAGGCCATGATGTACAAAACTCGAAGCAGATTAAATTCCAGCAATCAGATATATAAGGTAGCCGCATGGGCGAATTGGGACAATAATATGTCATAGTTGTTAACAACAAGGCCTATATAAGGTCGGTCAATAAGCACAGATGAGTACATTTGGCAACCCTGTCGTGAATGTTCGCTAATTTTGTGGTGCTCTGTGCTCGTTTAAAAAATATTTAATTTCTAACAATATAATCTGTGTTTTTGTGGTAACAGTGTTTAAAAGTGTTGTGAAATAATTTTTGTGCATTTTGATATAATTGGAAGTGTGAAATATAACATATTTTTCCTAATATTAAAGGTCGTTTACATTGAACCGGATTTGGTTAACCCCCAGTGGGTTTAAATTTTCAATTCCTTTGAATATATGCCAAATAAATCCTCATAAAGTAGGTTAACCCGGTAAAAAGTTCTAATGTAAATGCCGTATTAATTAATCTTTTTAATTCTAATTGGCATTTTGTTTCCATTCCCAATTGTTCCTTTGTTACATTAGCTTATATTGTTGTTGTAACATTTCTTTTATTTTTATTTTGTTTTGTTATTTTGACATCTCAAAACAGAGTTGCCAAATTTTGTGTTTTATAAGAAATTCAAGGGATAGAAATTCCAGTAAATTCATAAATTAGTTAAAAAAAATAATAATAATTTTTAAAAATGGTTTGTCCTTACGAATTATGTAATATTTCCGTAGATGATGAGTTCTGTGTCACTTGCTGGTTTTGCCTTAATCAATGGCACGTTAAATGTGCTCGAATTAATGCAAAAGTAGTGGACACAATTAGGGATAATGTTGGTGTCCGTTGGTGCTGTGTCCATTGTCGAAAACTTTCAGCCGACTTTTATAACTTTGTAAAAGACTTGCAGTCGGAGCTTAGTTCGATGAAAAAGGAATTTACATCGTTATCAAAACGATTTGAGAATTTTTCAAATTTGTTCGACAAGTACCAAGAGCTTAATGAATTTGTATCATCACCGTCTGTGTCTGGGCAGAAACGTAAAAGGTCTGCGAAAAAGGCTCCCAATAAAGTCGTGCCTAGTCGCAAACCCACAGTTTCTGTTGGGAATACAGTGCCACAATCACCTTCCGTCAATATCACAGATACAACGGAAACTGATTGTGTCCAGACATATGCTAGTGTTGCGTCACATTCGGCCTCGGAAATCGTTAAGGATGTAAATGAAGTGATTAATCCAAAATCTGTGAGTATAAGTAGTGCTAGTCTGGAAGAGACTTCAAAACCTACTCACGGATATCGGGAATCATCAGTTCAATCATCTAATGCGTCTTCCGTAGCAGGCACTAGCAATTCCCTCCAACCTGGTCAAAGACCATTATCTATGGCTTCCACCATGAAAATGGTATTTGTATCTAGGTTTGCACCAGATACCTCGGCTGAGGATATAAATTATTATAGAAAATCAAAAATCGATGGAAATTTCTTTCTACGTTGTTATAAGCTCCGGTCTGCTTTCTCAGAAAGTAGATCATCTTTTAAAATCGTAATTCAAGAAAGTATGTTTCATCGACTAATTTCGAGAGAATTTTGGCCTGCTAATGCATTTGTAAAGGAATTTCTGGAAAGACCTGAAAACTTAGCTCATTTGCCTCAGAGGGCTGAAATATTGCCAAAAAACTAAATATGTTTCTCAATGTTTGCTATCAGAATGTAAGAGGGTTAAACACAAAATTAACTCGATTATTCTCTGATAGCCTTGGGTTTAATTATGATGTTATAGTATTTTCTGAAACTTGGTTAAAAGCATCCGTGTTAAATAGTGAAATTTTGTGTTCTAGATATCAAATATTTAGAAAAGATAGAGTTCTTAAAAAAGGTGGTGGCGTCCTTATTGCAGTTGATGCCAAATATTCCACTAATTTAATTCAATTAAACTGTTTTGATATCGAATTTATTTGCATATCCATTGAATTAGAAAATTTTAAATTATTTGTGACTTGCTCATACATTCCTCCCTCATCGCAACTTGATATTTATAATCAGCATCTGTTAGCAATAAATTCAATCACTAACAAAATGAATGACTCTGACAAAATATTAGTTCTCGGCGATTTTAATCTGCCGTCCGTAAAGTGGCTTTCATTGCCAGATTCTGAGGCTCTAACACCCTTGACATCTGATGCAAATGTAAACTTATATACCTTTGAAATTGTAAATCGTTTTAGCGACATAAATCTTTATCAAATAAATAGCGTATCAAATTGTTATGATCGAATTCTAGATCTAGCATTTGTGAATTATACACAATATTTTGAAATTATTAGAATACCTCCAGTATGTACTCCCGAAGATAACTACCATCCTACATTATGCATATCCATGATGCATAATAATTTAGCTACCAACAATTCTTTAATATCATTTAAATCTGTTCCTAATTATAATAAACTTAATAAACACTTATCTCAACCGTAAATTGGAGCACATTATTTATTTGTAAGAGTCATAGTGATCTAGAATTATCAGTATATAAATTTTATGATATCCTAAATAAATTTATTCTAGAATGTGTTCCCATTGTTAGAGTTAGAAACTCGGAACGACATCCATGGGTCACATCTGGGCTTTCAAGTATTAAAAATTATAAAAATAAACTTTTTAAAAAATATAAAAAATCAGGCTCCTCTATAGATTATGCTAAATATGCTGTCGCAAGGTCTAAATATACGTCAGAGTCCCGAAAACTTTACAATCTTTATTTAAATAAGATTAAACTTAATTTCAAATCCAATCCTAAATATTTTTATGACTTTGTTAATATAAAAAGAAAAGCTACGTCAAAGCCCACCATCTTGAAATTCAATAATCAGACATTTGAGAAAAACTCTGAAATTTCAGAGTGCTTTGCAAATTTTTTCGCTACAACATATTCATATTCACTCTGTCCTAATAAAGATACATATCGTCATAAAAGGTTTTATTCAGCGTAATCAAACCGACACGATTTATACTGACTTCAGTAAAGCTTTTGACAGGGTTAACCATGAACTTTTAATATATAAATTAAATCAAATTGGTTTCAGTATAAATTTAGTTAAATGGATATCATCTTATTTGAGAAATAGATCACAGGTAGTTTTGTTTGATGATTGTCACTCCAAATCCATTAATGTTCCTTCCGGTGTTCCCCAAGGAAGTCATTTAGGTCCACTCCTCTTTCTTCTATTTATTAATGATTTACCAAATGCAATAATCCACTCCAAATTGCTAATGTATGCTGACGATGTCAAGTTGTTTATCACCCACCCTCAGACTTCCTAATTTCATCCATTAGAATAAATGTTCCTTTTCGATCAAGTAGATATTATCAACCATTATACGTAGATTTTCATCGCACAAATTATTCTATGGGAGATCCACTTAGTAAAATGTGTATTGATTTCAATTCTGTGTATTCTAACGTAGACTTTTGCATGAATATGGAACTAATAAAATCTAATATAATCATATTTTTAAATGAATAATACAACTTAATAACAAACTGGCTGTTGAAGTAGATTTCTGTAGCTGGTTTTCTATCCCTTCTCATATTCCATCATAATGCGGATTATGGTGTGTACGCGATCCCTACGAAAGGGGAGGTCGCCCCCTCGGTCGGCAGGGGTGGGAAAGTGAGGCGTGGGAACGTACGAAAAAAAAAAATAAAATAAAGTTTTCTGTCAAATCATATTTTGAAACCTATATATACATACAAAATTATGTTAGACGTCAAAACGAAAATATTAATATTTTGCCAAAATTCAATTCAATTTTAATTTATATCGTCTTTGTGAAGTACATTTGGACTATTTCAAGATTTTACAGCCTTACCTAAAATTCAACTAGCTCATTCGACGTTTTTCACCACAAAAGTAGAACACATGTATTTATATGAATGTTACCGAAATACGTCGAACGTACCAAATTTAATGTTGAGCAATTTCAACTTTGACAGAACGTATTTTTCAGTTTTTCTTTTCTTTTCATTTCATTTCATTTATTTCATACAATGTAATATAAAAAAGCCAGCATGGCCAATAACTTATATTAACTTATATAAAAAAATCCAAACAAAGAATAAACTAAATAAATTAAAAATACATAACAGTAAAAAAACTCTACAAAATGAAATTTAATGCAAACAACTAACATAACAGATTCCAAACAAGAACCCCAATCCACTGCACTCTACTTAACTGTCGCTAAGAAAAGTGGAGGGAAAGGAAGCTTAAGGAATCCTACATATAAATATACTACATATTCCTCTCGAGCCCAAGAGCAATATTAGAACCACAGACATTAAATTTTATATGTATAAATCTATAACATAAATGCTAACGAACTTAAATAAAGATGGCTCCCCAGCCAAGAATTAAAAAAAAAATAACACTATGCAACCTGTAATCAGCGATTTCTTCAAAGCCAACTTCATCAAATACGAGACAAATACCCAAACAATTCCCTCCTATACGCAAAAGTGGAAGAGGTAAACTTACGAAGGCTCAAAGGAAGCTGATTCCACGATCTTACGACTCTAACTACAAATGATCTTTCACAAATTGCAGACGAATACCTCGGATACAACAACTGAGGGTTCCGAGAGGATCTACACATCACAAACCTACTACCCAGTGGTAAATCAACATTTCTCATAATTATATAATAACACAAAAGGATACGATATTCAAAATAATTATAAAAGGATAGGCCAAGAAATTTAACAACAATTTGGGAACAATACGACCCAAACCATATACATAACGAACAATGGAGTTAACAACCTTTTGAAGCCGATGCAAATGACCAGAA